TTGGTATTAAAATCCTTTAAAAATATAAGCAAAGTGTTCAGTTGTTCTTTCAGCTTTCTGATATCTTCACCCTTCAGAGCATTCGGTAATTTGAGGGTAGCTATAAACACTCCATTATGACAGCAACAGGAAACCATTGCTATCGAAGGGAAATGATGCATCGAAACACACAAACGCTCATAATAATGTGACACAAGACCCATGCCTTTTGCTCTTCAAATTCACCAGATCAGCTTTTTTACTTTGTTTTTCTTCCCTTTATTGGATCGGGATCTTTGCATGCTACAGCTGAGCAATGTGACTTGAGAACTTGGAGGTTTTGTAATTCAACCAAAAAGCTAGTTCCTCCTGAAACACGCCAGCTCACAGTCAGCTGAAACTCTGCTGTCCAGATGACATAAACAAAGTCTAATATTAGATGTTCCTAAAAACGACTGGCTGCGTCTGATTTTACTGTAGGTTTCCACTAATAGTTCTTTGTCACATTCATGTTGCTCTACTTAAAACAAAAACCTTAAACGGTCTTACTTTTACTAAAGATTGGTTATTTAAGGTGTTTTCTTGATCTCTATCTGCTTTTGTGCTGATCTTCATCTTTCCCCTCTTTGTCAAACAATCAAACTGAGAGTAAACAGAAGAAAAAGGAAAAGCCGAGTTAATCTGCCTCACCTATCCCTAAGCGAGACAGTTAATGGGTGATGTCTCACTTCAAGACGTACTCATTAACCACAAAGTCCGCATACTGTTTGCAGACACACCGCGCACACGCAAAGTGACTCCCACGCGCTGTTGTTAGTTAGAGCTGTCATCTGCAGAGTGAAGGACGGCGTGAGTTCATGCCTGCGCCCACAACAACAGCTCGGGTTTGCAGCTCAGTGTGGCCCTTAAACATCAGGATGTTCTGACACCAGCCCACATGAGATCACTGCACACCCATCATTGCACCCAGTCAGCATAAAAGAGTTCTTATCTGATCTATTTTGTCTAAGCAACCCAACAGAAGTTTTCCTACTGTGATTATTCGGCTTTATCTCAATATTTTACAGAACCTTTAAAGTCTTAAGGCTTTTGGCTGAGCTTTATCTTATGTTACGTTTATGTTAAGTATATCAAAATATGTTCAAATTCAAGTACAAGAAGGTTTACTGTCATTTCACCGCATGTGGTACATGAGGTGGAATGGAATTATGTACACAGGGTCCCAGTTACACCCAACAACAGCGAAAATATAAAGTTTAAAAAGGAACAGTCTAAGGATCTAAGATATAGGGGTCTGCAATCTTTGCGATAAAAAGAGACATTTTTGCCACATTCCTTGCGGCAAAACCTGCTGCAACTGTACCACCAACTGGTGGCCCGTGGACCACTACAAGTTTGTTGGAGATGGCTTTTCAGGCCTGTGGGGGTGATATAAAACAAAAAATGTCTAACATTTATTGATATTTTTACACTTTAATACAAAAACAAAAGGACCAGATTCATGTAAAGAAAGATAAACTATGTAATTTTAACAATTTTATAAAATTTAAAACACTAAACTCTGTATGCGAGTTCTCTTAATTGTTGAAGAATTAAGTATCCTACTTGAAGCATAAAGTCAAAGACATTAAAATAGGTCAGTTTGTTGGATATACAGTTACATTTTTCATTTTACATTTACGCTGAGAGACTGGAAGTCAACTTAAAGCGGCTAACAAACTACTAGCATGATATAGTCCACATGTTTTACACTTTGTATTTGTACTATTGTTCACATATTTGAAAATGACAGGAAATTGGCTAAAACTAGCCATTTTTTATTGTTGGTAATAATAATAATAATTAAAAACACAGTTTTATTTTAGTTTTGTTCAAAGTCTGAAAGAGCCACTGCAGAGGGACCAAAGAGCCACATGTGGCCCCCGAGCCGCAGGTTGCAGACCCCTGCGCTAAACAAACACCAAACGGTACCTAAAAGATCTAAGATATACGTTAAACACTAATAATGTAAAACAATATGGCGTCACAAACATGAGTCTGTGGTGAGCAGATGGGTACGAATGAATACAGCAGCATGAAATAATCAGCAGCATGAGATCAGCAGCATGGATAATCAGCAGCACATATCACCAGTCAAAGTGTCATTAGAGTGATTTTTTGTTCACAACTACATAGAGATGTTCACATAGAGTGACGTTAATGTTTAAACCATACTAGTTTACATGAATTACAGTGTTTTAAATATAAAAATGGTCCATATATATGTACTGTGGATAAAAAAGTATTTGTTCTAATAATGACCTAAAAACAAATTCTTACACAAACCCAATAGAATACTTGGCAATTAAATTCTTCTGATGTTCTTTATTTTTCAGTTTTCTGTTTTTAATATTAATTTTTTTGGCAGTAATTGGTCCAGTTTGACATGTTTATGTATAAAGGATGTAAACATTTTCTTTCATTGTGTGCTGAAGCCCTCATCCAACAATCTGCTAAAAAAAAGAGCTATTTTTTATTTTTGTTGGGTAAAAAAAATAATTCTTACATTTTTCCAAAACATTACAATTTGAGTAAAGTCAGGACTTTTATTTTGGCATCCTAACATGTAAACATTTTACACCATTTTCAGGATGATTGGCATGTCCTGTTATATGACTCACTTTCTGTTGAGTTTTACTCCACAGGCAGTTGTTGCAATGGCTTTCTTATAAATTTATTGATACAATTAAGAATTCATGAAATATATATAATTATATCATATAATTAATGACATTCATTGATCTGTCACCAATATGACCATCTCATCACTGTGTTTAACAAATGAAAACAAGTTTCAATGCGTAAACTGAACGTTTTATTAATAAAAAGCGGACATTAACTACATAGATTTATTTTTTCACATTTAGAAATTACACTTGTTGACCATCTGCCTTGTTCTTTTCTAATAAGTATTTTTTAAATGGACCCCCTCATTGTGGTTTTAGACAGTTTTTTTCTGAGAGTTTAATAGTTTTGATAGTTTCATTTCAAAATAAAATCAATCAAATCTAATTCAATCATGATTTAATTTAACATTTCAAATGCAAGAACAGCTGCTTTAAGTTTTTCTTAGGATAAGAAAATCCAAATATATTAAAAAAACACATTTTATGTGGCAATTCATCTTAATTTAAATGAGTATTTTTTTTAAATTATGATTCATTTTCCAAGATAATTTTTTTCATGTAACATGTTAATGTGTGAAAAAATATGAACGTTGCCTCCAGTATCTGGTGCAGCACCCACCCCTTCCCCCACTGAACACAGATCTAGTTTCCGTTGTTTTATTAGTCCTCCATGTCAGTTGGAAAAAATAAATGTTACTGTGTAAACAATAAATTCCAGCCTTTATGTTATTCCTATTCCACTTTCCTAATGAAATAAGGTCACAATAATCATTAGTTTTCAAACCTGATCACTTGTGAGCTGTTTGGATTCACTGCATGTTTGAGGTTTTCTTGCTGTTTGACCCAGATTCTGTTGAATTTCTATATTTTTTCACAGGTAGGTGTCATTCCTTCTGAATTTACCAGAATAATTCAGAATGTTCGGTCCTGACTAACCAGTAATGTTTTGTGAAAGCTGCCACAATAAAGAGAACCATATCACGTGAGAAGTTCAGGCGATACTTTTTAACAATATTGCTTTTTTTCACATTTTCATTTTTTTTTCATTCTGAATAAATATTTTAATATAATTACAGTATAGCTACTAATGTAGTATCATTTTACGTGTTTGTATTGTAACCTTGTTTAAACACAAATGTTTCCCCGTCAAAACGTGATAACATTGTGATTATTGTCAGAACATGAATCTGCTTGAACATTAAATTTTACACATTATAACAGTTTTATTTTTGTTGAGGTGGTGGCTTTATGTTTCAAGCAGGTCTAACTTGATTCATGTTGCAAAACAGGCCCAAACCATGACACCGTCACCACCACGTTTCACAAATGGAAACTCATTTTAATGCTGAAACTGAACATTTTTTTTAGTACCATATTTTTCGGACTATAAGGCACACCAGATTATAAGGCTCACTGTTGATATTTGAGAAAATTAAAGGATTTTAAGTACTGTCCGAAAAATACTGTATTTTAACAAGAAATATTTTAGCAGCCCATCAATCTTCAGTTTCTTCCTCTCCTCACGAGGATTAACTTCCCTCTTATTTTTAGTTTCATTTGTATAAAGTGTCACACATCTTGTTCTTTAAGAATCGCTTGTTTTGGCACCATTTTGATTTCCAACTTAACGAGTACCAGTGAATCTTTTAATTAGGTTATTCCCAATCTCTTTTCATCTATAATACATATTGGAATATATGAGGCGTAAAAATCAAGTTTTGACAGCAGTTTCTAAAAATGGTGCCTTTCCTTGTTTTAAAAAAAAAAAAAAAAACCTCCATACCTTTTCTAAGACTCAAAAATATCTCAGTCCTAAACATTTGCCTATTTTAGCCCTTAAGTTTAATTTTTAGCAAACTTACTCATATATCTCTTTTGTCTCATTTAAGTGTGTATAACTTTCAGCACTTATAAAAGTACATTTTCATACAGATTTAATAAAACATTACCAGAAAACTCTAAAAACTCCATCATTTTATGTCCGTTTACACCTGCCACACAATGTTTTCTCTGTGTTTTATAGTCTCTTTTGAAGGAAGATGATCATGTGACTGACAAGAAAGGAAACCGGTGTCTTGACTTTTGAGATCTCATCCTGTGTGGGAGAAACGAGCAGCCGTCTGGGTGGAAAGCTCTCTGGAGAGGAGGAGGAGGAGGAAGAACAGGGAGGGATCAGTTTGTCACATCTTATATGTGTCTGTTTCACAGAGGCTGCGAAGGACCGATGGTTTGTTTTGGTGAGGTCGAGGAGCTAAAGCAGACAGGAGGAGAAATCGTTTGAGCTGAGGAGATTAGGTGACAGCACAGGAGCCTGGTTTGGACATGACGGCGTGACGAGACTTTACAGAAGAAAAGATGAAAAACACAATGTGGATTTATTTCTTGATATTTTTGTCTGAATTATGGAGCACAAATGCAGGTTTGAATATAAAAACTGTTCAAATTATTTTTCAACCCAGTTGTCTTTTTTTTAAAGACATGTTGTTTTGATCAACGTGCGAGGATCTATCTGAATGTTTTAACGAAATCATATTTGCGGCTAGAATGTTCATGCAGGTTCATTTTCATCTTTTAAAAATGCACAGCGTATTGTTAAACTTGTCTTTTTTTTTCTTCTCAAACTGATTACTTCTCGTCGCTGAGATTTCTTTTAATTATGACTCACAGTGCAAACAATCTCTGGAAAAAAAATAAACTGAACAAAGAAGTGGGCCAAAAAGCATTCGAGAAAAAAAAAAAAAAACTGTTCCATAACAGCTGTAGGAAAAGTTGCCCCGTATTTTCTGAATGAGTAAGCGGCTCACTTGTTGGGCAGACGTCTTGGTTTCTGGTTTGAACACAATGATGCAGCTTTTCTCCACCGTGGGGTCTCTGAGCTGTGGTTTGACGATCCCACCTTGAGTGTTTTGCTCGACCTGACAGAAGTAAACAGTCAGACCTCATATCCACACGTAGTAAACCGTGGGCCCTGAACTTTCCATCACCTTTCTTTGAAGAGCTTACTGTAAGGCCACAAACTTCTTCTAAGACGCAAATTTCAACCATAACCTCTGAAGTTTTGACCGGTAATTCCTTCGTTTTAGTATCAGATTTCCAGTGAGAATGCTCTTTTCTATTTAGTCTTTGGTTTTCTTTGTGAAAAAGTTGAACAAACAAAACTTATATTTATTCATCTGTCAGACGTATTTCTGTCTAATACCACTGATCTTACTTAACATGCTTGTTTTAATACCTAGTTATTAAATCTACTAATGGTTTCCACTGTTCTTTGATTGATTGATTGACTCACTAATGCAAAGACAACTCTCTAACTTACTAATCTTGACCTAACATTCACCTTCATCCCTCAGGACCTAATGAACACTCCTCCATGAACCCAAACTCAACTTCTCCGCCTCTTAAAGTTCATGGTAAACTGATTTTCTCGCACTTTTCTTTAACTAATATGCAAATATGTCTAATCCCAGGGTAGGTATAAAAAAACAACAGAGATATAAAAATGGTATTTATTCAGATAATGTTTTTGGTGTGTATAAATTTTTTTTTTTAGTTTAATGAATAGAGTGTGAATGAATAGTTACTTTAATTTAAAAAATAGTATTTTCATGTTTTAATGTTTTACTTTGGCATGCAGTATCTGTCGCATATGGAATTATTGTGTAACTGTTTTACTTTTGGTGTTAGGTTAGTGCAACCAATCAAAAGATATACGCATAACTTGATATTTGGTAATACTGCGTATCTGAATAAATATTATTATGACTATCTAATCATCATAAATCGCTAAAATATATATTTTTATCCTCAGTTAACAAAAACGCAGCTTTCAAACTTGGGAGCAGCGCAAACCTGACATGCAGCAATAAGACGTGGAACGAGACCATCTACGTTATCTGGAATATAAACTTGAAATACAAAACCTGTAAGATCTCCTTGAGCACAGAAGGGGAGAAGTTTGACAGCTGCAAAGATGGCAAGCTTGTACAAAACACTACCACCAATCAGTCGTACCTGCACATCCCAAACTTCTCATCCAAAGATGCCGGGATCTACAGGTGTGAGACGGTGTACAAAGGAGGAAATGAAAATTACAACTTTGACGTGACTTTCACAGGTATGAATTTATTACACGCCCACACAACAAGCAATAACTTCTTTATTAATCAAATGAATATCTGGGAGTGCTAATCATTTAGGTTTAGGACTTCTGCATGTTATGAGTCACAGAGGGAAAATTGACTTTACTGCACAGAAAGGCATTGAACATAAGATTTTAACTAATTAATATTTAATATTGTGAATATTTAAATGATACTTAAAGACTTATCGTTAACAGTTTTTATTACTGTATTTTTTCAGGCTATAAGGCACACTTAAAATCCTTTAATTTTCTCAAAACTCGACAGTGAGCCTTTTAATCCAGTGCATCTTATGTATTAATTCTGGTTGTGCTTACTTTCTTTCTCTCAACCTTTATTTAGACAGATAAATCACACTGAGCCTCGGAGACTCATTTACAAGTGAGATCTGTTTAGACAGACAAAAAAGTAGTGAAATTGAACACATGTAGGACATTGGAGGCAAACAAAATCCTATCAAAGGCTTTCTTCTTGACTGAGAAGAAAGACCCTGATAATAAAAAAAACACCCTGCACAGACAAGCACATAATGATGCCTACATTACATGGGGGGGGGAGGGGGGTGATGGGATGCAAGGACGGTGAACAGTCCAGAGATGAAACACAGAGGCACAGAAGCACTGCAGAGTTCAGATAAAATTGCTCAGTTCAACTGGCGAGATGCAGCACGGTGGCGCAACTGGTAGAGCTGCTGCCTCTCAGCGAGCAGGTCCCTGGTTCAAACCCCGGTCCAGGGGCCTTTCTGGGTGGAGTTTGCATGTTCTCTCTGTGCATGCATGGGTTTTCTCCGGGTACTCCGGTTTCCTCCCACAGACCAAAAACATGCATGTTAGGCTGATTGGTAACTCTAAATTGTCCCTAGGTGTGAGTGAGAGAGTGAATGGTTGTTTGTCTCGTTTGTCTCTATGTGGCCCTGTGATGGACTTGCGACCCGTCCAGGGTGTACCCCGCCCCTCGCACAGTGATTGCTGGACATGGGCACCAGCGACCCCCGTGACCCAAAATGGAATAAGCGGGTAAAGAAAATGGATGGATGGATGGAACTGGCGAGATCAGTACACACTCGTGGGGGTAGGGTGGGGTGCAGAGCTTCAGGTTTACAAAACTTCCAGGCAAATTGAGATAAGGTGGCCTGTCAAGGCCAGTCAGGGAGCCAAATTCAGATAAACACGATTGTTTTGGGGACAGGCAGAACTTTAATGACATCCGTCTTGAGTCTCTGTCGGTCCACTCAGTTCCGAAACGTTCAAATTAAATGGCCACACCAATGAAACGTGCCTGAGATTAATCCCCGAGATCTGATCCATTCTGCCAAAAGCATTTAAGTCTGGGTGCTCAAGGCACGAACCAAGCCATCATATAAGGCAAGCAGCCTGATCGAGTCCAAATTTGCTGCCGATGACTTCCTTGTTTGTTGATAAACCAGGAACTAGCCAAATCCAAAAAGCAGAAAACCAGCTATCATAAATCCAATTATATATGCGTCCTTAAAATCCACAGATGACAGCAGAAATAGACGCATCATCAAGTCTAACAAGTCGATGAGATATCCAGCTGCGTGCATGCCAACAGGGCAAATCAGCTCGCCTAAAGCCTGTCTTCTTTTCGAAGAAATGTTATCAATTGTGTTGAGGGACCAACTGACCAAATCCAGGTCCATGAACTATGATTCGGAAGATTTGTAGAAGAGAGGCTGTAAGCAGTTTCACAGACAGGACAGAGCAAAAGCAAGCGAGGGAGAGGAGGAGAAGGCATTTGCCCTTGGCAAGAGCAAGTGTTCAAATTTGTGATTTACTGAACTCAAACCGATTTATACCTGCAAAAAAAAATTACATTTAGTAGTTAACACTAATGTTATGAGTGCACAGAGAGACAATTGACTTTACTGCACAGAAAGGCGTTGGATATAAGATTTGAACTATTTCAGACATATTATTGTGAATAATTAAGACTTATTGTTAACAGTATTTTTAATTAGAAAATCTTATTAAGTAAAAAAAATCTGCATGACTGCTTGTGTTGTTATAAATTAGTTTTCAGGAGATGTGGCTGAACTTTTGATGAATCAAACTGAAACAACTACTTGTTGCTTTTTCTCCTGTGCTTTTATCTTTTAACATGTAGTTCCTCCAAGTTTTTCTGCCAAGATAGAGCAGAGGAACCAGACGATGGTGGCAGTGTGCAGAGCTGAAAGAGGAAATCCTGCTGCCAACATCAGCTGGAGTTTTACAGGAAACTCAGAGCCCGAGACATCCCTGTCTGTCTCAGAGGGATTTGCTACAGTAGAGAGCGTTTTGAAGCTCCCTGAAGGCATGAATCCAGAAAACCTGAGCTGTATTATCCAGCACCCATCCTGGGATCAAGAGCGGACCATTCAGGTTCGAAAAGTTCAAAAAGGTCAGATTTCTGCACACTGGACAGAGCTGAGTTAAAATAAATGATATTATAATAATAATATGAATTTAATTTGTTGTTTGAATTAGCCCTGTTGCAGAAAATTAGATTTTAATAGATTTGCAGTTTTTAACCCTTTAAGACATTAGATTTTGTTTAATGTGTATGTGTGTTTTACATTATTTTTTGCTATCTGGATTCATTGGGACCATGTAGACACACCCCAAAAAATCTGATTTTGAACAATTACGGTAGTTAATAGAACAGAGAAAAGTAAAACAAATTGTGGGATTATATAAAAAAAAAATGAAATTCATGTCTTAGTTGAACAGAAGACATTTTTAAACACAGGTAAGCCAATGTTCCTGCAGGAAGCAGTGTCCCAGCAGGTTACTGGAATAGTTCAAGAGTTTCTGTGATAGAAGTCATTTCCCATCATGGAGTCAAGCCAATAGACTGGAGCTATTTCCAGAACATCTTAAAAATGTCTAGTTTAGAAATTTCATTGGAGTTTTTCAATATGTTATTTTAATAATTCTTACACAACAATACATTTTCATGAAACTGATATTTTGATCAGAAACTGCTGACCTTTTTTCTCTCTCGTGACAATAGACCCCAGGTTATGATTCTGCACGGTCAGGTCTTGTGTTAATCACCAATGACTTACAACTGTATGTCTGTCTGATGTTATTCATTTAAGCATTTTCAAAATAATGTTCATTTGAACAGATTTACTTAAGTTTAAATGGATAAAATCAACCAGTCTAACTATAGCCAAACCCCACTTACAAAAACTTAATTATGTTTTTGTTCCTTTTTACATTAAAACAAACAAAAAAAAACTTATTTGATTTTCTTTTGGCAGATTTCAGATGGCTTTGGGTCTTTATACCTATTATTGGGGTATTTGTTGTATTTTTGGCAGGCGGCTCAGTATTTGCACTACGAAAAGTGAAACTACTAAGGTGAGTTTGAATTTAAAAACAACTAAAAATAACTTACCAAAAGCTTGTTTGTTGAGTCACTGAACTTTTTTTTGTGCCATTTTTACCAGACGGTGTCACACGTTGGACACGCAAAACAAATCACCATGGGTGAGTAGTAATTTTGCGTTCAGCGCGTTACTGAACATTGATTAGTTTGGTTCATAACACCCATTTATTTTATTTTTCAGACGGAGGATGTGGAGGAAGTGGAGCCCTATGCTAGCTATGTTCAACGTGTAAACTCAATCTACAACTAATCTGCAGACGTGTCTGCAAAACGAAAAGAAAAAAAAACAAATCCTGCACATGCAACAGAGTCACACACTGAAATCTCAAGACGCTGTGAGAAACTGAAGGCTGTGAAACTAAGAAATGGTGAAGTAGTACTGAGATGTCAGAGTGAGATCAAAAGGTTTCTGATGAGAGAGGAAAGACTTTTAGTTCGAACGTGTCCTAACGAACTGCACCGGCTGATGGAACAGGGGATGCACCTGAAGTCACGCTCCGGCTCCCATTCACAGAACATTCAGCCCACACTCGCTCTGAGTGAGTCTCATGGAGGACATTAATAATTGTGAATCATGCAGTGGAAAAACCTGTACTGTAAGCCAAACGCAGAAACACGACGACTACAGACTTTGGATATTTGCTGTAACTGTGTATACTTTACTGGTCAGTTTGAAAGAGGCCCTTTTTTAAGGACTAAGCTCCACAAAAGTAAAGAGCGCAAGTATTACAGTCACCTAACATAAAAATAATATAATTATGTGTTTAAATTAATAATGTTTATTAAATTTCACTCAAGCAATGGATTTCTTGTAAGTGTATCCTCATTTTGTATAAAAAAATGTTCATTTTAGTCTAAATGGGTCCAGATATGTTAGAAAACAAACTGTCAGCTTTATTTTCCTTTTCATTGACTGTTTTAATTTCTGATTTGATTTTTTTTTTAGCAAAACATCACTCACGATTGATTATTACTTTCTTTATGGATAAACAAAAGAGAGCTCATGGTTGTTAAAAATGTGCTTTTTGTTTTACAAACCTGCTTTTAAAAAGACAGAGAGTGTTGAGAAGAGCTGCTCTCCCCTCTACTGGTGGACATCAGAACATCCTTAGTAGAAGTACTACAACGTGTTGAGACGTCTGAATAGGACCAGTAATAGTGATGTGTAATTACAGAAGTTTGTCTTCTGCACACATGAACACAACAATCAGATTTTCTTTGTTTCAGAACAAATATGGCGAAAGAAATACATTGTGGCCTCTTGTTTTTAATTAGATTTCATAGTTTAAACATTTCAGGCAGCACGGTGGCTCAGTTGCTAGAGCTGTTGCCTCTCAGTGAGAAGGTCGCCGCATCAAATCCTGGCAGGGGGTCTTTCTGGGTGGAGTTTGCATGTTCTATCCATGCATGTGTGGATTTTTTCTGGTCTCCTCCCACAGACCAAAAACATGCATGTTAGGATGATTGGTAACTCTAAATTGTCCTAGTGAGTGAGAACGTGAATGGTTGTTTGTCTCGTTTTCTTTATGTGTCCCTGTGATGGACTGGAGACCAGTCCAGGGCGTCCCCCGCTAGGTGGACATGGGCACCAGTGACCCCCCACGACCCGAAAAGGAAGAAACGGATAAAGATGATGTATGTATTTATGGATATATAACATTTTTGAGAACATAGCCTTTCTGTTTCTCAAGTTGGTCTTTTTTCAATTTTTGTATCACAAATGTATTTCTGTATGAACGTCTCATTTTCACCAAAGCATACAGTCAGTTTACATTGTGAACACGTTAACAGAATTCCTTCCCTAAAACAAAAACAAACAAAACATTAAAATACATTTTAGTACACATTTGTACCACCGATAAATGCATTTTTATACAAATGTTGAAATTAAAAGTTTTGTAAAACAGATTTTAAATATTTCCAGATATAGGGCTGGATCATACGATAGAAAAGTAAAACCCTAAACGTTTTTGTCAGTAAACTTTTCTCAACAAAAACTTAAAACAAAACACAATAAATAAAATCACACTGAACAGTATAATTTATTTATGTTACATACATTCAGTCAGTCACGTACAGTAAATTACAACACTATCATAAACCAAAAATTGTATTCACCAGAAAAACAACTAAACACAAATAGAGCTTTCGTTACATTTCTTGTAATTAGGGAAGTCAATATCTCTCAGGAGCTTTAAGCTGCACATGAGCAGAAATAAAATATGTGCTTTAAACATTAGCTTCCCTGACGCATCCTTACACTTCTATGCCAACGTCACTGTTGTTTATTGTCGAGCTAAAACAGTTGCTAAGGCTTTCTAGCTTTTACAATCCTCTTTCGGCATCATCCAGTCTGATTTATTCCGTCTCAAACTTGTCCTAAACGCTGATAAAACCAAAGGGATGTTCTGATGCATGCTCAATAATCCAGGTAGAAAAATCTAAAAAAGGGATGTTGTTTTCAAACAGGAAGTTGGTCCAAGCAGTTCTTCCTCTGATTTTATCTTCCAATGGTGTTCTTATTGAGTTTGTTGATTCCTATAACTATATATCTTGGTTGATTTGCACCTTTCTTTTAAGCTTCACGTGGAAAACCTAGTAAGTAAACTGAAAGTTAATGTCACACTTTCACCCTTCCTCACCTCATGTTGCCCTGTACCACACCTCCTCTGCTCAGCCACAGCAATTAACTCTAATCGGTTCCACCTGCTCTGCTCTCTTTATAAGCCCAGCTCCACTCTCACTCAGTGCCAGATTGTTGAAAGCTTTTTGCCAGTAGATTTCTAGTGATTCCTTGTTCTGACTCCTGACCACGATCTCAGCCTTGTTTCCTTGACTCCTCGCCTTGGCTTGTCCCTCTCTGGATTTGTCTGCCTCATCTGACCACGGTATTGACCCTTTTCTTCTCCTCCTTCGACTACGCCTTCAGATCTCGCCTTTTGCTCTGGTACCAGCTCTCTGATCGCTAGTGATGAGCAAATGAAGCTTTTATGAAGCATTGAACCAGTTGGGCCAATTGTTTCAAAAATAGGTTCATTTGTTGAAGCTTCAGTTACAGTGACCTCTTGTGGCATTTTGCAATGCTGCTGTCAAATTAGGTGTTATGCTTTTTGGTGTCGCACACCGAAGAACTTGAGTGACTAGTGTTAAAGAAACTACTTTACTGTGGTAAAAAACTGATTTTTTTTTTAAAAATTCATCAACTGTCTCATCATTTCCATGTTTGGCGCTGAAGTGTCTAATCATAGAGGAGGTATCATGATGCTTCAGTTCAGTTGAACACCCCAAACACTGCACCTGCAGAAATACACTAATGTAAATTAAAAAATAATAATTTGAGCCAATACTGATATGATTATTAAGATCACATGCATCATTTTACTGTAATTATATTAAATACATGGGTTAAATGGGATAGATAATATCTTCACTGCTGAATATTACTATAACTTTTTTGACCTTTAAATGCCAAAACCACCTTATCATGAGCAGAATGAAGTGTTCCCACATGTTAAAATTACCTTTTTTCCTGGCTGCCTCCATAATTACTCAATTTCAACTATCAGCAAAAACACACCTACTCTCCAACACATTGCAAACATTTTAGAGCTGTTTCATAGTGTTGAGCTCTCAATTCAAAACTGTCTCAACCTGTCACCTTTCAGAATCGAGACGAGGCGGTGTCAGGGAATCAGCTGTTTGGACCATGAACCAGTCAAGCGATTCATTCCGACAACGAAACAGTTTGTGTTTTGGACGTCACGTGTCACGTGTCACTTTTTCCGCACCAAAACAGGCTCCGAAGCAGTGCTCCGATGTAATTTTACCGCAGGGTTCGAAGCATGTTTTGAAGCATGTTTTGAAGCATGTTTTGAAGCTTTTGTCTCATACTACCATCACTACTGATTGCCTGTTAATGACCCCTGCTAAGTTTTCTGGACCCTGCTTCTGGACTCTCCCTCCATGGACCACACGCATCTCCTTGTTCTGAAGGCCTGCTGCAGCTCTCACTCCTACAGTGACGCCACCAAGTTCAGCGCTTCTCCTGTTCTTGCCACGCCACAGACTGAGAAGACTGGACCTCCACCGGGACCCAGACCTCCACCAGAAGCTGCTTAAAAAATAAATCTTTTAAAACCATTCCTGAGCCTGGTGTTGTGCAGATCCAAACAGAACCTTGTCAGTTAAACTGGGTTTCTTTTTCAGAAATAGATCAGGTTTAACTCTGAATTCTAGGAAACACCTTGTAACTGTGACTTTCCTTCCCTCCATTGATTACTGTGACATTAGAATATAATAGAACAGAAACAGCCTTTATTGTCCCATGGATGGGGAATTCCAGTGTATCAGCAGCAACAGATAAAAAGATTTCACACAAGTTCCTAAAATGTTACTAAACAATACAATATATAAGAAATAAGATAAACAATATCAATAATGTTCAAAATGTATTGGAACATTGAGAATGGCAGACTATTTACAGTACAGTATTACAGGCAGAGTGTGTGTTTTAGCAGAGGTCAGCATGTATTTAATCCTTATTGAGTTTGTTGGGAGCAGTGATGGTTGTAGAGGTAATTATTTACATGAACTCTCCTACAAGCACCCTGCAGATGTTGGATGTTGTCTATCACGGTGCATTAAGATTCATAACTGGCTGTAACTATCATACCCACCACTGCACCCTGTATTCACTGGTTAACTGGTCATCATTAACTTCACGCAGACTCTCCCACTGGTACATTTTCATCTTTAAATCACTTCTTGGTCTGCTGCCTTCATACATCTCCTCCATGTCTCTGCGTGAGTGCAGCTACAGCGTGCGTTCTCAGGACATTGTTACCTGCAGTGTTCCCTGAGTGAGGACTGAACTAGGCAAAAGCACCTTCTTCTACTCCGCTCCTGTTTCCTGGAATATCTTGCAAAAAGATCTGAAGCTCTCAACCTTGACCTCTCTAAGTGGCTTCAAACATCTAAGTTTCTGGCAAAAACCAACCCAGACATGTTTTTAGTTTTCTACACCACCTTACAAGCTAGCGGTTTTTATTTGTTGTTTCATTTTTTAATGCCATTTTCTTTCACTTGTTCTTTTCAATTTGTTTGCTTCCTTTTATGATTGTCTACTGTTGTCATCACTCTTTGTTAGAATCAGGTCTCTCTTGTAAATTATTCCCCAAGGCTCAATGGGATTAACCTGTCTAAATAAAGGTTGAATGAATGACTCCCAAAAACTCTGACAATGTCACAAATTATAATTAAAACATGGCATTTTTTAATTCAAACTGATGAGGCACTGATGCAGCTCCATGGAAATTTGTGAAACTGAATAGGACGGAAGAAAAGCTCAGGGCCAGATTAACAACATCAGCAGATAACAATCAAGACTTTGTCTGCAACAGAAAGTTTC